CGCCTGGGTGGCTCAGTCATTAAGCGTCTGCCTTCGGCTCAGGTCATGATCCCAGGGTCCTGGGATCGGGCCCCGCATAGGGCTCCCTGCTCCGTGGAGAGTCTGCTTCTCCCTCTCCCACTCCCCCTGCTTGTGTTTCCTCTCTCGCTGAGTCTCTGTCAAATAAATAAATAAAATCTTAAAAAAAAAAAATTCTTTAAAAAAAAAAAAGTTCAACCTCTTTATCATGGCCCACGAAGGCCAAGCATCTGCCTACTAAGCTTCTGCCCTCATCCCTCTAGCTCACTTCACTCCCACCACCCTGGTCTCTTTTTTCTTCCTTTAAGACATCAGGCTCAGGGCGCCTGGGTGGCTCAGCCGGTTAAGCATCTGCCTTTGGCTCAGGTCATGATCTCAGTGTCCTGGGATCCAGCCTGGAGTCAGGCTCCCTCCTCACCGGAGTGTCTGCTTCTCCCTCTCCCTCTCCCCCATCCCGCTCCCGTGCACGGGCTCTCTCTCAAATAAATAAAATCTTAAAAAAAAAAAAAAAGGCATCAGACTCTATAACTGGTAGTTTAATTCATGAATGAAGGTCTCTCCACCTTCCTCTACCCTCAAGTCCCCCATTTCTGTCTTAGTGTAATACAGTGGCTCAACTTGCCACAGGGCCTTTGCAGTCATTCAAGACTCACTTTTAGTACCTGGACTCTTCTCTAAAGTAGCTCCTCCATGATCATCCCCTAATCACAACGTAGTGCTGCATCCCAGTATACTGTCTTCACAGCTGTCACCCTTCGAAATTGTTCTGATTTACTTGCCTGACGTCTGCCTCGCGCACGAGACTGTAACCTCCACGAAGGCCCCTGACCGCCATGTTCTCTGCCGTATTCCCCAGCGCATAAAACAACGCCTGACACACAGGCCATTCAAAACTACTTAATAAATGAACACATTTGCTACTCCTCTAAAGACCAAACAGATTGCCCCAGCCCCCCAAAACAATGCTCCATCTGGGCGGTCCTGGCTAGGCCGAGTCCGCCCAGTCCCGGGGTCGGGGGTCCCTCCCCGCACACCCCTCACCGTCTGACACCATGGCGGCCAGGCTCCCCGGACAGGCAGGTAGCAAGCAGTCAAGCGCTCCTCCCGGATCCTGCGCGCCCCAACTTCCGGCGCTGCCGAGTGACCCGCAGGCGGCTTGGCCCAGGCCGCGCGCCGTACCCACGGCCCCGCCCCCAAGGCGCCGGAAGTGGAGTGTGGAGCCGCGCTGCGTGCTCAGTCTCTGCGGCCGCGAACCCCTTGGTCGTGGGATCCGTCCAGGCAGCGCGGGCTGTCCAGGTCCCCTCGGGCTGCGCGATCCGGAGAACACAATGGACAGCAATGGTAAGTCGGGACGGACGGGCCTGCCGGGCCTGCCGGGCCTAAAACGGAGCCGCACGGGGGTCGCTCCATGTGGCACGCCCAGGCTGGGCTCGGCGAGAAGTCACTTTCCAAGTTTCGGCTGCTGGACTGGATGTGCTGCTTCTAGTGGCGACTCGATCCCTCTCGCGGTCCCTGTATCCAGGGAATGGGTCCTGAGAGTATCCCCAGACCTTCCTGTCCCAGCGCTTTACAGCGCCCTCCTCCAAGAAAGGGAGATTTAGACGAGGCGCGCGGATCTCGGCAGTCGTGATTCCCTCATATGTGAAGTATGAGTAAGATTCCCCGCCTTATTGGATCTGGTACTAGAATTTTTTTCTAAAAAGACGTATTTGTTGTGTTCATCTAGTATGGTTATCAGGGTGTTTTATTAAGTGAAACACAAGGGCAAACTAACATATATGATACTTCTCATTTAAAAAAAAAAAAGAGGGACGGGTGGCTCAGTCGTTAAGCGTCTGCCTTCGGCTCAGGTCGTGATCCCAGGGTCCTCGGATCGAGCCCCGCATCCGGCTCCCTGCTCAACGGGAAGCCTGCTTCTCCCTCTCCCGCTCCCCCTGTTTGTGTTCCCTCTCTCGCTGTGTCTCTCTCTGTCAAATAGATAAATAAAACTTTTTTTAAAAAAATAAGAGAGGGATGGACCTTTGCATATACATGTACATATGTAAGTAGGTGAACAGGCTTGAATTGGCACAGACTGTCTGGACAGGTGGAGGGAAAATTGATTAAAGTGATTGACTCTGGGATTCTCCCAAGACTTGTAATCAAAGATAAGAGGGAGGATGACCTTCCACTATCATGTGGTGGTGCTTAACTTTTACGCCTTTTGTGCACAGATAGTTTTTCAAAAATGAGAAAGACAGCTGATAAACGCTAAAGTGGTGTCATCCCTATTCCCGTCCACATTTATAATGCCCCTGAAGCCAAACACCCTGAAAAGAAAGTATGTTTAAAATTAGTTTGCTTCTGGGGCGCCTGGGTGGCTCAGTCTGTTAAGCATCTGCGTTTGGCTCAGGTCATAATCTCAGGGTCCTGGGATCAAGCCCCACATTGGGCTCCCCACTCAGCAGGGGTCTGCTTCTCCCTCTGCTCTCCCTTTCATGTGTGTATGTGTGTGTGCACGCCCTCTCTATCGCTGTCTCTCAAATAAATAAAATCTCTCAAATAAATAAAAATAAATAAAATTAATTTGTTTCTTAAGGTCAGCAGTCATTGAAAACTCTCTGGTCTTACATCCTGCTAAATGAATTTGATGAATCACTTTTTTCTCCCTCCCCAGAGTTAATTGAATACTTTAAGTCTCAGATGAAAGAAAATCCTGACATGGCCTCAGCAGTAGCTGCCATCCGGACTTTGCTGGAGTTCTTGAAGAGAGATCAAGGTGAAGAGGGTCATATTTGAACACTCCTCTAGTAACTGTCAGAAGTGTAGAAGGTTGGGGCGCCTGGGTGGCTCAGTCAGTGAAGCGTCTGCCTTTGGCTCAGGTCATGATCCCAGGGTCCTAGGATCGAGTCCCACATCGGGTTCCTGCTCAGTAGGGAGTTCGCTTCTCCCTCTCCCTCTGCCCCTCCCCCCTACTTGTACACATGTGCATGCTCTCTCTCTCTCTGTTTCTCTCTCTGTCAAATAAATAAATAAAATCTTAAAAAAAAGAAGTGTAGAAAGGGAGACTGTGTGAGGGCCTACTTAAGGTAATGCAGCTCCAAGTTCAACTTCTCCTTCATTTCAGTCTTCATTTTAACTTGGAAAGAGCCCACCAGTTATCATTAAATGGGTCCCCTTTCATAAGTGAGATACACTTAGAATCAAGAGTGACCATGTTATATATCCAGCTAACCATGAAGCTTAAATTATAGCAATAGTTCAGCTTTGTGTTTATTGAGCTTTTGTCTTGTGTCAGAATATGTGCAGTTGCTACAGAGTGTTCCAGAATTCTAGTATTAGCGTCATTCATTGTGATCGCCTACTCATTCAGGCATCGTAAATGTAAGTTTCTTGGTTGAGCATACGTCTTTTATAAGCAAAATAACAATAAAAATAATAGTAATAATAACGCCTTCTTTGATCCGAAGGGCTGGCCTAAAGACATCTGTCTCTAAGACAACCTTCATTGTCTTCCCCTTGTACCTACAATAACACCCAAACACCTAAGTCTTGCCTACACCGCCTCTCTGACCTCACCTGCCACTTCTGCTTAATTTCCTTCCATGCCGTCCCTCACTAAACTGTGCTTCAGCCCTGGTGGCCTCTCTCTGTCATGTCAAGTTTGTTCCCATCTCAGGTCCCACTGGATCTTTACGTGGCTGGATCCTTTCTTACTCAGATCTCAGTTTAAATGGCCTCCACTCCAGAGGCCATCCCTGTCAGCTCTGTCTAAAGTAGCCCCACGTTTCTCATCATTCTGCTGTTTTCTGTCCTCATTCAGTCTGTAATTTGTGTATTTCTTTGTGTGCTTGTTTACTGTCTGCTGCTTCCACTAGAAGGGGAGTCCCACCAGAGCAGGGACCCTGTCTGCTCACTGATGTGCCTCTGGCATACAGGATGCATCCAGTAAACACTGATTGCATAAATGTATGAATCACAGACCCACCAAGGGGCTGTGATACTAACCTGAACATCGCATTCCTCATGTGATCCATTCAGGGGAGACGATCCAGGGCCTGCGAGCGAGTCTCACCTGTGCCATAGAAACTCTGTGTGACGTGGACTCCTCCGTGGCCGTGTCCTCTGGCGGGAAGCTCTTCCTGCGCTTCATCAGCCTGACTTCCCTGGAGTACTCTGTAAGCGCTGCCCTCCTTGGGTTACTTTCTACTTCTGTGTTGGGCTGCAGGTATTCTCAGCTGCATGTCAGCTTTACCCCTCATTTTGCTCTTTTCTTCCTAGGATTACTCTAAATGTAAAAAGATCATGATTGAGCGGGGAGAACTTTTTCTCAGGAGAACATCCCAATCGAGAAATAAAATTGCAGATCTGTGCCATACTTTCATCAAAGATGGGGCGGTGAGTAGATTTTCTCACGTGTGGTAATTGGGAGCAGGGACTTTGGACTTAGACTCCTGGGGTAAAATCCCTCCTCTGCCACTTACTGGCTGTGTTACCTTGGACAAGTTACTTAACCTCTCTGTACTGCAGTTTTCTCATCTGTTAAATAAAGGTAATAACAGCACCTACCTCATCAGGTTTTTGTGGGAAGAGGTATTGAGATGATCTAAAGACTGTACTAGGTCTGGCACATAGTAAGCACTATACAAATGTGTAGATGTTATTACAGAGGCTGTCACATTAAACAGGCTGAGAAGGGCACCTGGCTGGCTCGGTCAGAAGGGAGTGCGAATCTTGATCTCTGGGTCGTGAGTTTGAGCCCCACGTTGGGTGTAGAGATTACTTAAAAACAATAAATAAACTTTAAATAAAATAAACAGGAAGAGAAAAAAACCAGTGGGACAGCATGGATGGTTCATGGTTTAACACGATGTCTTTACCAAAGAAGTGTTTTCATTATTGGGTACATACTAAATCGAAATTAAGTCAACACCTAGCAGCTGTCGGCACTGGTTCATACTGACTGTCTTCCCGGTGAAGGTCCGCGCTGGGCTGGGATGTTGCCTTTAATTTCATTTCCAGTGCTATTTCATAGATGCAGAACTGCCAAGGGTTTCTAGGTGAAGTGAGGATGGAGCTGCAAGTTAAGCCAGTCCCGCAGCAAAGGGGCAGTAAAACTTTTATGGTGTCTCTCCCACGGCGTCCCTCTTCTGCCATCCAAGCCTCCACGGACCATAAGATTGTTTACTTGCATTTTGACTCTGAAATCTTGTCCTCTGTGTTATTATCCCCTTCCCAACCTTTGAAGTGTGTTCTTCACGAAGTGACGTAATAGATGTGAGCGGAACTTGTACAAAAGCCAGTTGCGCACAAAGTCGCTTTGGGCCACATGGAGGCAAGGTTGTGACTGCCTCTCGCTGAGGCCTTCTCCTTCCACCAGACTCCCGCACTCAGCATTCTGCAGCTTTCACGTGCTCTGGTGTATGTGAGTGTGTTAATGCCACGTGCATCAGTGCTGACTTTAGGCTGAATTCAGAGCAGAGCTGCCCACACTGGAACTTGTAGACAAACCACTTGGGATCTTATTCAGTGCTGATGCTGATTCAGCAGGTCTTGGGGCGGCTGAGAATCTGCATTGCTGACAAGCTTCCAGGCGAGGCCCAGTAGGGCGCTCTGTCCACATCCATTTTGCATTATACAGATCCGCATAGTCTGTTCATTAGAACAGAGCTGACGTGAGTGTCTACCCATTGGATCTGGCCTGCAGATGGGTTGTGTTTACCCCCAAATGGTGTTTCCAAATTTAAAAAAGTTAGTTAGCCAACACTTCTATCTTGGATTTTCAAGAGAAAAATGCGATCATCTGGCAACAGTGGGACCGTGTGACACCAGCTGGAGCTCAGTCTCCTGTTTGCCGCTGGCCCCACCCGAGCTGCTGCATTTCTTTCCGCAGCCTGCCTTGTGCCGTGGGCCTGAGTGTGCGCACCATGTCTTAGAACTAGGAGAGCCAGCCCGAAGGGACCAGACGGAGCCTTCAGATAGGCTTTTGCGTCTTGCGAGCAACACCACGTGGAGATTCCACTCCCACATTGGCTGTGGGAAGAGGTGACCCACAACAGATGGGCCACCAAGGATCTCGCTTCTGATCCCAGCCGACTTGCGAGACAGCGTAGCAAGAAGCCCAGGGTACTGAGAACAGGCGCCAGCGTGGCACACGGTGTGCGTGATCGCTGTGAGCCTTGCCCTTTTGACGGCGCTTTCTTGGTCCACAGACAATACTGACTCACGCCTACTCCAGAGTGGTCCTGAGAGTTTTAGAGGCGGCAGTGGTGGCCAAGAAGCGTTTCAGTGTGTACGTCACAGAGTCACAGCCTGACTCATCGGGGCAAGTATCATTCCATTCGGTTCTGGGCCCAGCAGTCATTTTAAAGAGCAAACGAAGGATTAGGCCCGGGGTAGGAAGCCCCAGAACATGCCCCCCGCCTGGCCAGTTACTCAGCCTTGCCTTTGTGCCTTTTCCTGCCCCCGAAGAAAAGTCTCTGTGAAGTGGCAGTAGGCCACTGTACAGGATCTAGGGTGTTTCTTTAGGAGTTAAATCAGAGGAATAGCAATAGATATGTCAATGGAAAGATGTTTATCAAGGAGTAGATAATTCACATCTCCATCCAGAAGAGAATGAAAGAAAAAAACTCTCCTTTTTTGCTGAATTTGCATCTCCTACCCAGAGTCCCCAAGAATATAGTTTTCCTGAAACACATATTTTCTTCTAAAGAACCCAGATTCTTATTTCCTTAGTCCAGAGTCTTGGGACGTGCCCCTTAATACCTGAGTATGAACTGAGTTTCAAGCTAATGTGATTTACCATTGTCCAAATTAAATGACTCATCATATGCCACTATGGGACTTTCTTGGACTTTCTCTAACATTCTCAAAATGTCATTTTCCAGTAAGAAAATGGCCAGAGCTCTCTACCACCTCAACGTCCCTGTCACCGTGGTCCTGGATGCTGCTGTTGGGTAAGCTTCCATCTTCCCTGAGCACCGTTACTTGTCACCCACTCCCAGGCTTGGCTTGGAGCGGGGTTTCCGGATTGAAGGTTGGAATCCCATTCATAAAACTCCCCTGGGTAATGTTCTGCCTCTGAATTGATGGCTGCATTAAACCAGCAAGCTCGTGAAAAGGTCTTGATGGTATATGCAGGAGACGAGCTGTAGGGTGTTGCAGAGAATGGGAGTCATTTATGTAGTCTACGGTGCCTTTTGTCTTTTTTTTAAAGATTTTATTTATTTGTCAGGGAGAGAGAGAGCACAAGCAGGGGGGGAGCAGCAGGCAGAGGGAGAAGCAGGCTCCTCGCTGAGCAAGGTGCTTGATGTGGGACTTGATCCCAGGACCCTGGAATCATGACCTGAGCCGAAGGCAGACAAGCGGAGCCACCCAGAGTCCCTTACGGTGCATTTTAAGAGCAAGGTGCAAAAGCCGGGTTAGGGTCAACACACGTAATCAGTGCTCCCTCCTCAGCGGAAGGCATGGGCTGTCCTCAGTGGCACTCTGGGATTCTTTGACTTACCCGTGCAACTTTGCTTCTAAAACTGAGGACACACGTTCTGTGAATTGTCAGTGTACCTCACAAAAGAAAACAGGACTAAAAGTCCCTCGAGGGGAAAAAAAAAACAAAACACTTAAGGCAGATGATTAAGGAAATTAGGAATGCGTTCAAAAGAAAGCATTTTGAAGAATTATACTTAATTGCCCATTTTCAGAGGTAAATTGGCCTTCACCCTAGCTGAAAGATTGTTGAATTACGTAACATTTTCTTCCAACTTCGGATCACAACAGGTTCTTAAATTTTTGTTTTTTGTATTGAAGTAGATCAGAAAATAGAGTGTACCACACGTAGTGAGGATAAATACTGGGTCACGAAATTCTCACGTCAGTCACTACACCTGTACACGCACACGTGCTGGGCGGCCGTGTGGAGGGCACATTTACCCGGGGGTTGTGATCACAGTGCGTTTTCAGCCCCTGCTGGCAAAACCTCCAACAGTGCCCAGGGTGGTCTCATGGATTGAGTGCCCTTTTGAAGAAAGTAAGTGATGAGAGGAACGTTCGGTGGTGAAAATGGAGTATTAATCTTTGCAGGTGATGCTGCTTGCTACTCATAAGAGCCAAGAGAAGAGCATAATTTTTTTTTTTAATTTCTTTAGCTATATCATGGAGAAAGTGGATCTTGTCATAGTTGGTGCTGAAGGAGTTGTTGAAAATGGGGGGATTATCAACAAGGTAAGAACATCAGTTCCCCACAGCTCCTTGCTCCAGGCAGGGAGGGGTCGCTGACCCACATCCTGGCAGTAGCAGGCGATGTTACGGTTCGCTCATCCAGCCCCGCGTGGCCTCCGGACATCACCGTCGCAGCAAATTGTCTCCCAGTCCCCAGAGGCCACTGCAGTGGCCAAATTTTGGTCACATTTCTTTGATCTGTGTGACTCATGAGAATGCAGTTTATCTTTTCTCAAAAACTATTTTAACTGGAATTGGGTTTGATTGTTGGTTTGTTGTTTTTTTTTTTTAACGGGCATATTTGACATCACTATAGTGTGTTAAAATTTCTCTATTCCTTGCTTAACATGGAAAGATTTCATGATCATTTGTTTTTTGCATGGTGAAATATACATAACATTCTGTGTTCACGTGTACGATTCAGGGGCGTGATTTCACGCAGCACGATGACGTTCTCGAAGCCCATCTTTGTTGTAGCAGGTGTCCGCACACCATCCCTTTTTACGGCTGAGTCACATTCCATTGTGCGCAGAGAGCACATTGGTTTGTCCGCAGACTCCTGTCCACTTGAGTTGTTTCTACGTTTCAGCTCTTGTAAATAATGCTACTACAAACATGGGTGCAGAGTTATCTATTTGAGTTCCTGTTTGCAGTTCCCGTGGGTACGTTCCTGAGTGGAATTTCTGGGTCACTTGATAATTCTGAGGACCCACCAGACTTTTCCATAGTAGCTGCACCCTTTTCCGTTCTCCTGAACACTGTACAAGCATTCCAGTCTCTCTACATCTTTGCCAACACTTGTTATTTTGGTTTTTTTATTATAGCCATGCTGGTAGGTGTGAAGTAGTATCTGATCTTTTTGACTTGTGTTTGCCAAATGACAAGGATCTTGAGCATCTTTTGAGCATGTGTATATTGGCCATTTGTGTATCTTTAGAGAAAAGTCTATTCTGTCATCATTTTTAAAAGATTCTAATTCCAAAGCCAGACTTACCTATATTATGTTCATTCACACACTTTCGAATATGCTATGAGATCTCATCCTTCTACTTTTTCTCTGATTCTCCAGATTGGAACCAACCAGATGGCTGTGTGCGCCAAAGCCCAGAACAAGCCTTTTTATGTCGTTGCAGAAAGTTTCAAGTTTGTACGACTCTTCCCACTAAACCAGCAGGATGTCCCAGAGAAGTTTAAGGCAAGAGTTTTTTTACATATTTGAAGGGGTATTTGAGTCTAAACTGAAACCTTTGGGAAGAAGCTATGTAAGAATATTTCAGTAAGTTACTCCCCTCCCATCACTAGTTTCTCCAACACTTGGGACACAAAGATCAATTGTTGGCTGAGCTCAAGACTCGGAGAGTCCCATTTGTCCCCAGTACTTCAATCTCTCGGTCTCTCTTAGGCATGAGAGGGGGCTGCGAGGACGCAGGGAAAGCTGATGGTTCAGTCCGAGCTTTGGAGTCAACTCTCTGGGCTCAGCCCCCATCCCCACTGCTTACTAACCATGTGGCCTGGGGCAGATGCTCTCATTTTACGCTCTGAACTTCAGTCACCTGTAAAATGAGATGAAAGTGCATTCTGAGCGTTATGACAGTTCTGAGATGATCCAGGAGAAAAGCTTGGCACGTGCCAGGCACATAGTAAGCTCTCTGTAAAGACTCGAAATTATCTCGAGAGGTTTGGAGCTGTGAATCCAGCACACCAGTGAGGGGAGACACGGTTTGGGTTTTTCATTCAATGAGGTCGTTGGCCAGTAGGCCGCCATCCTCTGGCTCCGCCACGCTGCCCTCCGCCCTCCTCACCAGCGCACTGCCCGGCTGGCTTCCCCCATGCAGGGAACACTTGCAGGTAGTAGCTAGTAGCACACTGATTGCTCAGGCCAAGCCCACACCACTTCTGAGCCCGGGGTGTGTGGGGAAAACCAACACATGCTTCCTGTCTCCTCAGTATAAGGCAGATACTCTGAAGACTATGCAGACCAAACAGGATCTCAAAGAGGAGCACCCATGGGTCGACTACACCTCCCCTTCCTTAATAACACTGCTGTTTACAGACCTGGGGGTGTTGACGCCCTCAGCAGTCAGCGACGAGCTCATCAAGCTGTATCTGTAGCCGCTGGATCCCTTCCTGCAGGCGCACAGCTGATGCACTTGGGCAGGGTGAGTAGCTTCTTGACCCCACCGTGAGCCAGGCCATACTAAATTTTTTTTTCTTTAAAGCTTCTCTTTTTAAGTAATCTCTACCCACAATGTGGGGCTTGAACTCAACCCTGAGATCAAGAGTCCCATGCTCCACTGACTGAGCCAGCCAGACGCCCCTAAAACTATTTTTTTTTTTTTAATGAAGACTTAGGGACGAAGGACCTAAAACCTTAAGACTTGGAAAATTTTTTTTATCCATTTCAGCCCCATCTAAAATGTGTTCATGGTTTCCCTAAAACCCAACCTGAGTTACGTCTATGGTTTCTAGACACTTTCCAGTTTCCAGAAATACAAGTTAGATTATTGGCTACTTAACCAATGAAAGACATGCCCAAGCCCACCTCCCTTCCCTGCACTCCAGACTGATTTGCCAAAAGCATTGATTAAAGAGATGCAGGCCTGCAAGAGCAGGCATTCCTACCTGCAGCCAGGCGCCCCTGCAGGAACCAACAGGCGCCCAGGACACGTTACAAACGGTGCCTTATGAGAGGCTGGAAACCCGGGTTGAAATCACATCAGGCATCCAGTGGTGACCAAGAGCCTGGGGCTGCCATCCCCTCCTTGGGATTGGGACAGACGGGACCGGAAACCACCCAGAAAACCCAAGGAAGGTAGAAATAACATTTAGGAGGAGTAGCCTCCGTGGCTCAGCACGTATGAAGACCTTCCAGAACATCTGTAAACTTGAAAGTCTGCATCTGTGGAAGATGTGAATTTCCTTTAAACGTGTTTGATCCCTGAAGAGCTTTTTAAAAATTGTACTTGGGGAAAAATTCAGCCATCTTTTCAAATAAATTACATGAAAGATTTTGATACGGTGTTGTATGAGTACTGAGCGCTACCCGAGGCCCAAAGGTATTGGCCATCTTGGCGAAGACACTGCAGCCACATTCACACACTCAAGACACTCAATGGGAAGGAAATAGTTTATTCGACACAAAGCATAATTTTTCTCCCCTAGAATATGACTTGCTTCCTTCCCCCGCCAAAACTGTGGCGGGGACGGCTCTTCGAAAAGAAGAAAACCCCAGCAATAGCAGCTGCCCCACGCAGGTGTTCTGTGCAGTTCCTCGGAGAGAGAACTCAAGTCCAGGGGTAGGGACACCAATGAAGGTCAGGTGCCTGAAAACACTAAGGAAACTTAAAAAGCCAAAAATCAAGTATACCTCAGTATCTTTATGTTAGAAAGTAAGTATAAAATAGCCACAGATAAATGAGCTTTAATTAAGATGTGACCCATCAAAATAAATACTGACCTCTGTTATTTACACTCAGTCTTACACTCTTCCATTGGCCTTAAAGGCTGATGTGGTTTTCATAAAACAGTCATGAGTGTAAAGTGTGCCCCGCCCCCGTCCCCAGTGTGAACACGGCTCACTCGGGCGCCGGCTGCAGTATGTCACACAATGAAAGCACGTGGCGCCCTGCGGGGCCACTCGCCATAATCCCTGCACTTGTGTGTGCCCTGGGACCAACGTCAGCAGTCCTCTTCCGAATCAGGGATCCCCAGATCCGCTGTCGGGACTGTTCTCTTGCCACTCAAAAACAACCCCTTCTCAAATTCTTCTTCAGTAATTTTGCCTTTCTTAAACTTTTTCAAGAGCCTCGTGTCGTTGAGAAGTTCCTCCATGTCCTCGTCTTCAATATCACAACCCTAAGTGCAGAGAGCGACAAACCACCGAATTTCTCAGGGACCTGTTCTCACGGCAACAACACACTCTCAGATCAGCTTCCACAAACTCGTCATGCTCCCACCCGAGGCCCAACAGAATACAGAAATACGAGAGCCCCACGCGCTCCCCACTACTAGACACTATTTTGATAAAACTCATTCAGAATTCTCAGCTGAGTATTCAAGTAATAAAGAAAAATGGTACCTCTTCCCTCTTCCTTTTTTCATTCATTTTTTTCTTCTTCTCCTTTTTGGCCTTCTGCTTTGACCAAGCTTTATTTTTTATGAATTTTTTTCCGCCTTCATTTTCTCTCTTCTCTTTTCTTTGTTGCTCCAGGAGTTTCTGCCTCTGCCTCTCTCTAACTTTATCTTTAAATGGGATGGTGTCTGTGTTAACATCTGCAGGCGTGAAATCTGGAAAATGCCTTCCCCTCAGCTCCGGCATCTTCGGCATCCTTAGCAGGGCAAACCCTCGAGCAAGACGAGCAAAATCAAGATCTGATTCAACCAAAACAGCAGAGTTAGCACACCCAAAATAGAATCATGAGCACCAACCCAAGGAAGATGGCTACTGGCTAACCAAATGATCTAATGGGTTCATTTTAATTAGAATTAAAATAATTACATTTTTACCAAAAAGGGATAGTCGGCACTGAGTCTGTTCTGTCTACACAAACCCTAGGAAGACTTCTTTTAAATATTCAGAAAATACTAACCCTGACATACGCCTAACATTTTTATAAGACAAAGCAGTTTCACACCCGCACTACTTGTAAGGCCGTAGGTGTTTAAGGAGACAATCACGTGAAGCGCACCTTACCCTTTAATCTGAAGATGAGGCTGCATTCATGCTTCGCATAAGCCTGGACGTAGGACACAAAGGCTTTCATGCCCTTTTCAAACACAGCTCTGTCGGCCAGGGCCATGGACTTGAGCTTTGGAAGGAGGTCTCCTGTGTTTTTCTGGAGTTTCATCTCCTGCAGGGGGCACTGCACACCGACCACATGCTCACCTCCTCTATCTGGGATCCCCTCACCTCCAAAACCCCATCAGAGCCAGTGCAAAACCAAAGGCAAAACAATCCACTGTAATCTTTAATCAGAGACACTGACTGAAGCCCAAATTCCCAAGTATTTTACTTGGCCTGACATTTTTTTAAAGAAAAGTTTAAAATCAATTTTACTAACAATCCTGATTTCTGGTTGGAAAGTATCCAACAGCAGGCCTGGGTTCCCAAGTATACTGACACCGGCTGCAGCTGAGCAGTGGCAGCCACCCTGAATGGGGCTGGTGCCTCCCCACAGCCATGAGGCCAGCTAGCTCCTGCCCTTACATCACCACCTGGCCCCTGAGTGTGTGCAACCCCTCCTCTAAGTTCCGGACCGCTTGCTGGAAAAGAACCCTACCAAGTATCCTGTCACTGGGCATGCTATATGAAAAAAGAAGACCACTTACTTTTTGGTTAATTTCAAGGAAATTGATATAGGACTCTTCCATGGGAAGGAGGAACACGAGCGCGCTGCCACCATGGCCAATGCGGGCTGTACGGCCACAGCGATGCACGAAGGCACTGTGAATGGAGGACGGGACCATGATCACCATGTGAGAGTGGGCGGAGCGGGGGCCCAGGGCTGCCAGACTCCACGGCTCAGCCCAACCCTGCCCCTCACTAGGGTCACAACACAAGAGCTGGCAGTTAAATATGGACTGCAAACCAGGTAGGATTCTGCAAGACACTTAATGTGAACTAGAAAACTCTTAACATGTTTGCCTATTTGATAACACAGGTAAAACAGTCCTAGTAGAAAACTGGGAGACAAAAGCATTGAAAAAGTATAGAAAAGAAAAGTGGCCTGTAATGATCATTACCGCCAGGAAGTCTATTCCTCCACATTTTCCTATGTTTGGAAGCATTCATGAGGAATATATGTTTGCTACGGGAGAGTAAGACCTTCATATACGGTGTCATGTATTACTTTCCTTTAAGCATCTATCAGATGCACTTGTGCAAGAGCTTTAAAAAGCATGTGGAGGGGCACCTGGGTGGCTGTCGGTTAACCATCTGCCTTCGGCTCAGGTCATGATCCCGGGGTCCTGGGACCGGGGGGGAGCCTGCCGCTCCCCCTGCTTGTGCTCTCGCTATCTGTCTCCCTCTCTCTCTCTGTCATATAAATATTTAAAAAAACTAAGCCATTGTTTAAAAAAAGAAAACCCGTGAAAATAACAAATTGCATACTATGGCATCACTATTTCCACACACCAATTGACAGTTCACCTGTTCATCCATTTTTGCTATTTAAAGTAATGTTTTGATGAACATCGTTATGCATATCTTCCTCAGAATTCATGGGGCCAGATTCCTGACAAAGAGGGTCACATTCCGTCACTCCGTACCTTGCGCTGCTGGGAGGGTCGTACTGCAAAACCCAGTTTACTTCAGGAATGTCTATTCCTCGGGCCATGACATCCGTGCACACTAAAATTCCACTAGAAAACGAGAAAACATCGTTCTGAGCAAGGGGGCTACCAATGTCATCACCACCAGTCTTTCCCAGCCCCGATGAGGAGGACGACAGTAATGCACAGGTTCCAAACCTCTCACAGAAGCAAGCAGTTAGGAATCACATTTTGACTTGTTTTTCCTCCTAAGGATATCTAGGACTTCACAAATTCCCAACAAAAACAGGAGGCAGGGGCGCCTGGGTGGCTCAGTTGTTAAGCGTCTGCCTTCAGCTCAGGTCATGATCCTGGGGTCCTGGGATCGAGCCCCGCATCAGGTTCCCTGCTCGGCGGGAAGCCTGCTTCTCCCTCTCCCACTCCCCCTGCTTGTGTTCCCTCTCTCGCTGGGTTTCTGTCAAATAAATAAATCTTTAAAAAAAAAAAGGGGGGGGGAGGTAGGGAGGAGACCAGAAAAGAATTTTTTTAATTTTTTTTAAAGATTTTTATTTATTTATTGAGAGAGAGAGAGAATGGTAGAGAGAGAGCATGAGAGGGAGGAAGGTCAGAGGGAGAAGCAGACTCCCTGCTGAGCAGGGAGCCCGATGCGGGACTCGATCCTGGGACTCCAGGGTCGTGACCTGAACCGAAGGCAGTCGCTTAACCAACTGAGCCACCCAGGCGCCCGAAAAGAATTTTTTTAAATTAGCATACTTCTCTTTAAAAAAAGCCAAAAACTGGGCGCCTGGGTGGCTCAGATGGTTAAGCGTCTGCCTTCGGCTCAGGTCATGATCCCAGGGTCCTGGGATCGAGTCCCACATCGGGCTCCCTGCTCCTTGGGAGCCTGCTTCTCCCTCTGCTTCTCTCTCTCTCTCTCTCTCCTCCTGTCTCTCATGAATAAATAAATAAAATCTTTAAAAAAAAAAAAAAGGCCAAAAACTGTAGCGAGTCTAATCCTGAGGTGTAACAATCCATTCTATCACTCTGTCTAGAAGAGTGCTTTTAACAACACAGCCAGGAGGCTCTTAGAAAAGCAGAAAAATGTTACTTGTACACACAAAATTAATTATGGCCACTGAGAGATGCGAAGTCCCAACTGCAGTGACCAGACGACAACCTATGAGATTTCAATGAACTGCTCCCATCCGCACCCTCCACCCATTCAACCAATAGGTATCAAAACCCCCTGGGCCAGGCGCTGGGCCAGATACTGGGGAACCCGGGAGTGAACACAACACACAGGTCCCTGTTCTTATAGAGCTTACGATCTTGCAGGGAAGCTCATGATAACTAGGGATGACGGGGTCAGGCCGGGGACAGGGGGCCACACAGGTGTGATAACTACGCAGAGGAGAAAGAGGGTTCTAGGCAGAGAAAACAGCCCATGTGAGGGTTGAGATGGAGAGGGACCTGCCAAAGCATAGCTCCGAGGCAGCTAACTCACCTTTGCAGTTTGCGGAACTCCATGAAGATCTTATTGCGCTTGTGTTTCATCTTCCCATGAATGCACATGATCTTCACACTCTTCACCAGGGCCTCCAGAGCCTTTCCATAGTATTCCACACAGGCGCAGGTGCTGCGAGAGGGGACAGTGGGCTCAGAGTCGCTGGCCACCTGGGTCCCCTATTGCTGGGGGAGGGAAGCGGCAAGCACCAGATG